CAAGAAGTTCACTTTAGTTCTAGTTTTCTGGAATTTGATTATTAAGCCTGTTTATTTTAACCATGCCCTTAGTGATTTTATTGATTCCAATTTCATTTCATTCTGCAAGTCCTAGACCCTTGACTATATCCTGGCTAAAATCTTGTTCATTTAGTTCCTTTTTTCTAGGTCTGCTATACCTTCACTCAGCGCCCATCAAAGGAGTCCTGGATTGAGCCCAAATTCATGCCTCGGACATGGGTGAAAGAGACACCCATAATGTCACAGAACATTTTCTACACACTATTATTTCAAGCAGGGAAACCACTTATAATTCTACCATCCTATCCGGATAACTACCTTTACTGTCTAAATTCACTTTAAAAATAACTTAATCTATGCAAAGTAATTGCAAACATGGTCAAGGAGACACTGGTCCAAACATATTGCCGCATGAACTTGTGTGCTTTTGAAGTCATTTTCAATGCACAGCAAATCGTGCGATTAATCCACATTTATGTTCCATGTAAATTTGTTTTATTTTTGATAATGAAGGCTGGAGGAATGATTCTTGAAGTATCATAACAGCATTGACTGACAGCTCCCTAAGTGCCGTCTCTCTTATAGCAGACATAGATGACAGCTCGTAGGTAAAGAGCATATGCAAATGGATGGGGTTCACACTGAACACAATGGGGTAAAAAGCCAAAGAAGATACTTGTTCTATTTCTTATTTATTAAAATTCAATCAATATGATAAAATATATGAACTTTGGGAGAATAGATTTACTTGTGGGCTGAGACAGATTCAGTTCTTAAACTGTTAGAGAAGTTTGATATATAGTAATTATGTACTAAAACTACCTGATATAAATATTTTTAAATGCCAGTGAAATTTACATTACTCATTTTCATACCCCATGTATACTGTTTGTTTAGCTGGGAGTGGTCTATATAACTAGAGCCTTTTTATGTTGTAGATTTAAATTATCAGGTTATCTTTTGTGGGCAACCACCTGTGTAGATTAAGTTAAAAATCTGGCCACATTAAAAACAAGAATCCTGCAATGCCACTTCTAGGTATACACCCCAAAGGATTAAAGGCAGTGACCTGAACAGATACTGTACAATCATGTTCATAGCACCATTATTCACAAGCCCAAAGGTGAAAGCAACTCAAGTGTCCCTTGACAGATGGATAAACAAAATGTGGTCTATGCATACAATGGGATATTACATAGCTTTAAAAAAGAAGGAAATTCTGATGCATGCTACAACATGGATGAACCTTCAAAACATGCTAAGTAAAATAAGCCAGTCATAAAAGGGAAAATGTATGATTCCACTTAGATGAGGTAAATATAATAGCCTAATTCATGGAGACAGAAAGTAGAATTGCGGTTACCAGGGGCCGGGGGAGAGGGAAGATAGGAATTGTCTCATAGGTTCAGAGTTTCAGCTGGTGAAGATGAAGAAGTTCTGGAGGGCTCCCCCGGGCTCCCCTGGTGGCGCAGTGGTTGGGAGTCCGCCTGCCGATGCAGGGGACACGGGTTCGTGCCCAGGTCCGGGAAGATCCCACATGCCGCAGAGCAGCTGGGCCCGTGGGCCATGGCCGCTGAGCCTGTGCGTCCGGAGCCTGTGCTCCGCAACGGGAGAGGCCACAACAGTGGGAGGCCCGTGTAACGCAAAAAACTAAATAAATAAATAAATAAAAAGGAAGCTACTGGATTTTTAAAAGACCTTTAGAAATCAAAATAATTTATTCACGTAATTTTTTTAACTGAAGCATAGTAAACTAAAGTCAAAGTAATAAATCTTCCGTGGTAATGGTTTAAGGGCAAGCAATGCTGGCTTTCTTCACATGCTGTCCTTCACTCAGAGGAAAGGCAGATCACCTGTTCTGGAACAAGCCGGTGCAGCTCTGCGGGCGGGAGACTGTAGAGTCTCACAATCTGCAGGCAGGAGGTCCGAGATCAAGGTCAGCAGGGTTAGTTTCTTCCCTGTGAGGGAGAATCTGTTCCAGATCCTCCTTCCTTGTCTCTGGTGGCCTCGGGGGTTCCATGGCTTGTAGACAGCCATCCTCTCCTTGTGTCTTTATGTTGTTTGTCCTCTATACATGTTTGTTTCTGTGTCTAAATTTACTTTTTTTTAGTAAGTAGTGCTGAAGTTCCTGCTCTGGGGGCTGCACTGCTGAGGATCACTGGTCTAATACACCCTTGTTACGCTGATTAGAAATGCAGGTTTTCCATAAGCGAAATGACCACCAAGGGCCAAGAGTGAGTCCGTGGCAGGGCTCAGAGGGGAACTCTGATTTCTTGATCCACATTTTATGCACTTTCCCTGAAGCATACGGTTTTTGGTCATCTTTCTTTTTTTTTTCCTTGTGCTGTACAGTAGGATCTTGTTGTTATCCATTCTGTATATAATCGTTCGCATCTGTTAACCCCAAACTCCCACTCCATCCTGCCCCCACCCACATTTGGCAACCACAAGTCTGTTCTCTATGTCTGTGAGTCCGTTTCTGTTTGGTGGATAAGTTCATCTGCGTTATACTTTAGATTCCACGTATAAGTGATATCATGTGGTATTTGTCCTTCTCCTTCTGACTTACTTCACTGAGTAGGATCATCTCTAATTCCATCCATGTTGCTGCAAATGGCATTATTTCGTTCTTTGGTCATCTTTGATTCAAAATTCTCTGAAGATCTCCATCGTCTGTGGACCTATCAAGCCTTCGTGTTTTTTCTAGACTGAAGTTTTCCATATTGATCGACAAAGCTCTGCAGTTCCAGGGACGCTTTCTAGGAATCCTTTAAAAATGTGTGTAGGTTTTTTGTGTTGTTACAAAAGAATTTGATTCTATGAATATTTTTATACATGTATCCTGATAGACTGTGCAAGAATTTCTGCAGGGTATATATACCTAGGAATGTAATCAATAGATTGTAGGGTGTGCTCATCTTAACTTTAGAGCATTGATTTATGGATTTCAGGAAAACTATATCAGTTTACACCCTCACCACCAGCATCTAACACTTCCTGCATTCTCACAACTCGGCAACACTTGGTGTTGTTTGTCCAACATTTCGACTTTCCTGATATTTACCTTAGAAGCTACTCTAGAACCGAATCCTCGCATTTACATGACTCCACCATGTCGGACTGTTGGTATTTTATGATCCTGATATGGGACCGAGGATGCCTGTTGCCTCTGACATAACAGGTGCTCAGTAAACAAGAGAAAAATTAAATAAATCTAAGATGTAGCTGTTTGGTAAAATGACATTTTTTTCATATTTTAAATGTTTATCAGTACATTCCTGATTCCAATCTTTCCTTCTGTCTCCAAATTATGCAGCCAGTGTCAACCTACAGTTACATATTTCTTCCCAAACTCAAAGGCTACACAGGAAATTCAAAGCAGCAGTCCAAGGGTTGCCCCTAGAGGTGGGAGATGTATTACATTTGCTTTACTGTAATCTAGTAAAAGATCATAACATGAATCTTACAGAAAAAAGCTTCCACAATTCCTAATCTTAATTTCAGTACTTAATGTATTTTTCATATGCTCCAACATGTCATTTTAAAAAAATGATATAAATTCTGCTTCTACATACTTATTTGATTGTCTTGGTGAAATTTCCACAATTAAGTTAAAAAACTTTTTTTTTTACAATGTGTAGGAACTGCTGTTTAAAGACATCTATTTTAATAAGTTATAAAGTCTTGGTTCCCGAATACTAGCTCATGGGTCTCTGCCAGCTTTAGTTCGTTTGTTTGTTTGTTTTGCGGTACTCGGGCCTCTCACTGCTGTGGCCTCTCCCGTTGCGGAGCACAGGCTCCGGACGCGCAGACTCAGCGGCCATGGCTCACGGGCCCAGCCGCTCCGCGGCATGTGGGATCTTCCCGGACCGGGGCACGAACCCGTGTCCCCTGCATCGGCAGGCGGACTCTCAACCATTGCGCCACCAGGGAAGCCCCTCTGCCAACTTTTGATGAAAGTCTCGCTAGCCTAAAAGGTAACACCAAAAAGAACGAGTGTGAGCTTTGCGTACACATAAATGCACTCCATTTGAAGGACCACACTTCATTCCAAGATTATGTCACTTTTACCCTCTTAATATTAACATGTTCTGTGTTTTAGGAAATAGTGATGATAGTAGATGACATTTATTTGCTTGACAACTTGACCTCAGACTTTCCATATGCATGTGTGTATTTGCATATTAATTTTACTGATCCTTCGAATCTAATTGTTTGGAAACCCTTTAAGAGCGGCTTACTACATCCTGTAATATGTATTTCGTAGAAAGCGCCCTTGGAGTTACTGTCTGGAGCAAACAGTAAAAAAGCCCCAGAAGGCAAGCCATGCTCATCTATATTCATACCCATTTATTTAGTTCTGATTGAGTTTCCAGGGAGGTTTAGTACTAACAGTAAGGGGGTGACAAGCAAAGACAAGTGTCTGTCCTCGCAGGTTTAAGGGTTAGCCTGCGCTCATACACTTAGGAAACAACCAGTTTCCGGAGGAGGGTGGAGACACTGGACCCCGATACACGTGGGAAGGGAGGAGGAGGTAAAACCCATGCCAGGAAGGGGTCTGCTGGGAGCAGAGGCACGGAGCTCGGTCCTACTGAGCGGAGAGAGGAGCTGGGTGATGATGGAGCGTGAAGACAGGGCTAAGCAGGGGAGCCGGCGCTAGGGCAGGCTGGACGTGGGGCGGAAGGGCTGGCGAGACAGCCACGTGGCAGTCGTTCCAAGGAGACTCGGGTAGCGACCGACTACAAGACGCGCAGAAGATGCGCGAGGCCAGGATGCAGACCCGCTACCTTTCGCACGGTCAACACCTGCCCCGGGCCGGGGTCGGACACGCCCCTCGGGCTCCCGCACCCAATCAGCGACGAGCCGCCTCTGGCCGCGGGACACGCCCCCTGCTCCAGCGCCTCTTCCCGGCAGCCTCGAGAACCCGGAGCCCATCAGCGCCTGCGCAGTCCGCAAGCCCCGCCTTTTCGTCCTACTGCCCGCGCCTCCCGCAGCCAACATGGCGGCTCTACGTGTGTCCTGCGGCGCAGCTGCTTCATACGGGCTCTTTCTTGGGGGTAGGGTTACCTTTGCTCGGGGACAGGGCCTCTGGAAAGCCGCGGCTGCTAAACTGCAGAGAAGTCCCGGATGCCAGGTAAGGCCTGAGAGAGGTGGGAGTGCTGGTCCCTGGAGCACGCGGATGTGGAGCCGGCTCCGTCGCGGTCCTCTGGCGTGTCCACGCCCTCAGACGGGGCCCTGGGGTCTTAGGTGCTCAGCAGCGGTCTGAGGTAGAGAGAGGAGTGGGATTGCCTTCTGGTTCCCACCCTGGACGTTGTTGCTGGTTTTCTCAGGGTACAGTGAGGGGGAAGTTACCTGAGACGGAACTAGAGCGACCCCTGCCTTGACCCGCCGCCCGGGTGGGTGATGGGTCCCGCCCTGCCCAGGAGCCCCGCGGTCCAGAGGGCGGAGGTGGATGAGAACTGGACCCCTGCAGGGACCCGAAGACTGAATGCAGAAAGTCGCACAGTGGAGAGGAGAGAGAGTGACAGTTTTAAAGTGTCTTGCATCTATGCAGTTTTCGTTTTCTTAATTTTCACGGTACTTTGTCTGATAGATGGAGATCACAACTTCTAAATTAAATTGAATCCTGAGGGCAGTGGGAAGCCAGGATTCTAGCTTCACAGCTGATTGGATGATGATGCGATTTACTGACATGGGATCTGAGTAGGAGGAACGAGATTTGAGAGGGAAGGAAACGAGCTTAGTTTTGGATATAATTGTGTTTATTAAATAGTTATATTTGGGATGTCCAAGTGTAGATTTCCAGTAAACCCATAGATAAACAAGTTAAAGAAGAAAACTGATTTACAAGTCCTCTGTTACCTTGTAGATGGTAATTGAGGTCTTGGAAATGAATTAGATCATCTAGGGGAGGTTGTAGTGAATGAGGAATAAGCAGAGGGATCGGACCCTGAAGGACAAACAGCAGAGGAAGAAGAGCCACCCAAGAGATTGAGAATGACCTGCCAAAGAAGTAGGGGAAAACCCAGGCAGTGTGGAGGCATAGAAAACAGGAGAGTGTTCCAAGGAGGGAGAGTGCCTGACAGTACCAAATACTGTAAAGAAGTCAAGTACTGTGATCAAAAACTGTTGAAAAAGGAGTGCCACCTTTTTTAAAAATCTTCTTTCTTTTATGTTTTAACTCAGATCAACCAATCCATCCATTTATCCATCAAACATTTGTTTTTATTATTTTTTAGCTGGAAAATAGGTTGGAAGTTTTTATCTTTCTCATGCATCTCTTTTGAGTGTATCCTTTCTGTAGACGCATAATTTCCTATAAAAGGGACTGGAGCATACAGAATGTTCTTATTGTTGACACAAAGTGGGGGAGGTGACAGAGAGTTGTTAACTTCTGCTCCATCCCTGGAACTCCCAAACTTTTGAACGTATGTATCCTTCTGTGTCTTTCTCGATGTTCTTCTAATCATAGACATGCATTCATATGCATACTTTCAAAAGATGGATCCTGTTCTACTTTTTGCTTCTTTAACTTACACGTATAGCAGAAATCTGCTGCATAATATTCTGTGGTATGAATGTATCAAAGTTAATTTAACAGTTGATGGGCATTTGCTTTGTTTCCTTTTTCTTCCCACTAATAAAGTGTTCGGTAAACATCCTGGTGTAATTCTTACTACATCAAATATCTTGTACCTGATGCTTTTATTTCTGTAGGAGAGAGTCCCAGTTGTGAGGTGATTGCTGCAAATGTCAGTAGACATTTCATAGATGTTTCCACATAGTTCTCCAGAAAGGCTGTAGCAATTCACAGTCCATCGTTGACGTAAAAGCATGCCCTTCTTTCCACGTGCATTAGGTATTATTATTTTTTTCAGTAAGGTGGGTGAAAAAAGATTTTCCTTTGTTGCTTTAACTTCACCTCCCTGACCACTCCTGAAATAAATAAAGCTTTTCTTTTTTCCCACCCCTATGGCAGGTGTTTACTGAGCAGTTCACTTGAGCCAGGCACTGCGAAGTAAACAAATCATTGAAGTCAAACAATCCCTAGATGGTGTCCCCCCTTAGCACTCTCAAGGGATGGTCCTGAGATGCCGAATCCCCAAATTCCTGAATACCTCCACAGCACACGTGTTAGCACATGCAGTACAGCTTAGATACAACTGAAAGACCTAACTGACCCCGTCAGACCCTTAATGGTTCCTTCTATATGGCTAAAGACATTTATAAAGCTTTTTTCCTGGCCCAGAGCTTATCTGTCTTAAATATTAGCATTTCTTCACTTCCGTCTCCAATATTAATCATTATATTTCTTTTAGGGGCCATGTTTCATAAAACAACAAAGTTTTTAATCACTTTATGAGTTGCTGAAACACTACACCTGTTTTTGTTTAGTTTGGGTCATAACCCATTAGTTATGAAATCTCATAAGAGGTTAAAGAAGGGAGTGGAGAGAATAGAATAATTATAATAATCAAAGTCCATCTTATACAGGGTATTTTTGCCTTTTGTTTATGTATATATATGTGTGTCCTAGGGGGTGATATAAGCAGTAGCTATTACTGTGGGTCACAGTCAAAAATGTTTGACACTGATGCAAAAGGAAAAAGAAACAAGTTCTGTTAAGCTGTGGCTCCTGGCTACTCAGTTGGGAAGCTCTCCAGGTTTTCTCCTTCATACCAGAATTGTGGCATACACGTTTCATGTTAATGGCTCAGTACAAGTGCAGATATCTGAGTGTCCCAAATTTGGGGTGGAGGAGGGAATATTACTTGGGAATGGCCAGATTTTTCTGGTTTTAAACCCATGAATATCAAGGATCTACACACAGTGTACTGTGAGATGTACAAAGTAAATACAGAAAAGCACAGAAGTGCAGTGCCTAATACAAATGAGTTGTGATGGGTAGAGTGGTGGGCAGCTTCTCAGAGGAGGTGTTGGGAGAGTCAGTTAGGAGTTATGTGAGAAAAGAGAGGTATTCTGTTCTAGGAACATGTGATAGGTCCACAAGGGACAGAGATGTACAGAGTCAGTGGATTCTGGCAACAACAAATAATTGGTTATAGCAATTATAATTGGTATAATAATTGGTGAGAGAGCGGTGGGACAGGATTAGAAAGTGTATGGCTATGTGAAGATACTTGAATTTTTTTTTTTATACTGTCACAAATGAAAGTAGTTTTGGCTTTATTATAAGCAGTTTGACAGTCATGGTGTGATACAAAGGTTACCCATGAATTCTTTTTTTTTTAATTCTTTTTAAGGGAGTGGCGTTTTACTCTTCATTCGTTGTGTGTCAAATATCACAGCAGCCGACATTGACCAGTCGGTATCAAATGTGGATGTTTGTAGCAGACACGGAGGTAGCATATCACTCACAGTTATTTTTTTTATTATTATTTGTAATGTGTTGAAATGCTAGTAGTTTCAACTTTGTAAGCAGAAGCTTTTAAAAGCAAGCTTTCTAGCAGGGACTTTCTAGCAGGGAACAGTTGTCTTAACAAGCCTTTACCTTGTCTCCAGACTCCTGCCAATTGAGTACCATAATAAAAAGAGAGTTATTTGAATGTCTTGTTTTATTTAGAGACAGTGGCCTGTAAGATCATTGTTTAATTTAAAATCTTTTCTTTCCATTTGTATTTTCTCCTAGATATTAAGGTTAAGACACACCACAGTTGTAACAACAAGGAAAAATGTTGCAGTCTTAAGACGTGAAACTTACACAGTGGATTTTATTAAAAAGCAGATTGAAGAATTCAACATAGGAAAGAGACACTTAGCCAACATGATGGGAGAAGATCCAGAAACTTTTACCCAAGAGGATATTGATGTAAGTACAGTTACTCTGTTGGAAAAGTAACTGTTGTAGAGTTTTAAATACCGAAAGCTGTCAGACTGTCAGAATAAGGAAGAGTGCCACTCTGCTATTTTGCAAGTTGGAACTGTGGTTTCAGAGAGTTGCTGCTCTGTATTTGAAGCATTATAAAGTATAGTGAGGTTTAGATTTTAACCAGAAATGGATACTTTTCCTTGATTCCAGGTCACAGGAGCCACAGTGAACGTTTATACACAACTTAGAAACATTTATCCTGTTATGTAGTCTTAAACTCAGCTTTCTTACAAAATGATAAAAGTAAGTTTATAGGAAAAATCCCGTAAGTAAACCCAAGCCCAGAGTTTTTATCAACCTAACTATATATTTGAATTTTCAAAGTGAGGGCATGTTCTGAGTGATTTGAGAGTAGGGCTAAAATTCTGTTCCTGTTCCACCTAGTGCTGGTACTCTTACTTTGTTCTTCTTTTTCAAGGTCGTTTTGTCCGTTCTCTGCCCTTTGAATTTCCATATGAATTTTAGAATGAGCTAATCAGTTTCTTCAGCGAGCCAGCTAGGATTTTGATAGGGATTATGTTGAATCTCTAGATAAATTTTGGGAGTATTGCCATCTTAAGTCTTCTGATCTGTGATCATGGGATGTCCTTCTGTTTATTTAGATCTTCTTTAATTTCTTATTGTGATGTTTTCCAGTTTTCAGAGTTTGTTTGGCATTTCTTTTAAGTTTATTTCTGAGCATTAATTGCTTTTTGAAGTTATTCTATTGTAAATAGAATTGTTTTGTAGTTTTTTGGTGGATTTCTTAGGATTTTCTACATATAAAATGTTGCCACTGACAAATAGAAATAGTTTTAGTTCTTTCTTTCCAATCTGAATGCCTTTTATTTCTTTTTCTTGCCTAATTGCCCTGGCTAGGACCTCCAGCAAAGCTGAATAGAAATAGTGAGTGGACATTCTCACCTTGTTCCTGATCTTAGGGAAGAGCCTTCGTCTTTCACCGTCGGGAATGATGTTAGCTATGGGTTTTTATAGATGCTCTTTATCAGGTACTGGAGATTCCTTTCCATACCTAGTTTGCTGAGCATTATTATCATAAAGGGGTTTTGGATACTGTCAACTTTTTTTTTTTTTTTTTTTTGCTTTTACTGAGATGATATCTTTTATTGGTGTGGTACATCACATTACTTGATTTTTTTTTTCGTTTTCTTTACTTTATCTTTTTTTTCTTTATTTATTTACTAAATTAAAATAGGGATGACAATCTCCATGTTGTTCTTAGGACTAAGGAGACAAATACAAACCCCAAAAAAGTTTATGACATAACAAATCACAAAGTTAATCATAAAGGACAAACTTGTTTTACCTGTAATTTGTTCTGGGAATCATGGAAGCAAATGAAGATTTTTGTTTTTTTTTTTTTTAACATTATTCAATGAAACATTACTTCTTAACAGCCAACCCCCTTTTTTTTTTTTTTTTTTTTTTTTTTGCGGTACGCGGGCCTCTCACCTTTTTGGCCTCTCCCGTTGCGGAGCACAGGCTCCGGACGCGCAGGCTCAGCGGCCATGGCTCATGGGTCTAGCCGCTCCGCGGCATGTGGGATCTTCCCGGACCGGGGCACAAACCCGTGTCCCCTGCATCGGCAGACGGACTCCCAACCACTGTGCCACCAGGGAAGCCCCAGCCAACCCTTTTAAACAAAGTGTTAGATGTCAGTTAAGACTCACAAGAATCAGAGATTTTAACTATATTTTAAAGGATATGGGTTATTTATTTATTATTTTTTGCATCAATTGACTTAGATGTTAAACCAACCTTGTGTTCCTGGAATAAATCCCACTTTGTCAGGGTGGGTCATCTTTTTTATGTGTTTCTGGAATTGGTTTGCTAGTGTTTTGCTGAGGATTTTTGCATCTAATTAATACTTACCTGTATTTTTCTTTTCTTGTAATGTCTGTGATTTTGATATCAGGGTAATACTGGTCTCACAGAATGAGTTGGGAAATTCTCTTTTATTTTTGGAATTGTTTGTGAAGAATTGGTATTAATTCTTCTTTAAATGTTTGGTTGAATTCATCAGTGCAGGCCTCTGGGCCTGGGATTTGTGTGTGTATTTCTGTTTTTGATTTTTGATAATTACTGTCTGCTTTTAAAAATGGTCCTCCCCTCTCTCCTTGTGATGTGTGTGTCCCTGAGTAACTGTTCTCAGGAAGAGGATCCCACTACCTAACTGACTTGACCACTAAGGCATTTTGGGCATCTCTTCACTACCTTTTTAGGTGTACATGGCATATATTTAGCTCAGTGAGAGAAACAGAATCATTCAGTAGTTTTGTAAATCTATCTGAAGGGATGAGCATTTTCACAACCTAAGTATTACATACGAATTATGTTGTTTAGAGTGGTGTGAGTTCATTGTTTGGCTGTTTGATCAGAATGCTAGTTTGAGATGTTAAATCCTCATGAAAATAGTTTTAATTTTTACAGAGTAGACATGACCTATAATTTAATTCAATTACCTAGTTAAAAATCTAGGTTTGCTGTATAATTTTCACGTAGGTAAATTAAGTGCCATTGTTTTCAGATTAAACCATTCGTTATTATATGAATTTTAGAAACTGCTTTTTCCTTGCCTCTAACCAATTGATAAAATAATGATTGCTGCAGTCATCTGTGAAATGCATTTAGGCAAAAATATTGAAGATCTAAAACAGTTTTTTTCATATATTAAAATACTTAAAAATTTTTTTCTTTAAGGGGTTTAAAACAGACAGACATTGGTGTCTTCATCTAAAGGATCCTTTTTGTATTATTTAGAGAAATCTAAAAGATTCTGTCATTCAGTCAGATAGAAACAATATTTTTAGTTCTGCTTCTTAAAATATTGAGTTGTTTCCAGAGAAGGTGTGTTTAACATCACACAGTAAATGTGAGGGGTGGCAGCTTTTCTTTAAAACTCTGTGTGTGTGTGTGTGTGTGTGTGTGTGTGTGTGTGTGTGTGTGTGTAGTGAAAGTAAGTTGATGTTATTTTGTGTCATTGTGCTAATAGAACATAATAAAAATCTTCCTTAGACAATAAAATAATGAAATCATGAATCGTTATGAAAAAAGTCCAATCACTTCTTTAAAATATGTAAAATGTTTTAAAATGAAGCTGGATTTCTTGTGAGGAATATAGATGCAGAACATGTAGAACTTTGTGGTTAAATTAATATTCTTTTAAAAGATAAATTTGTTGTAGTTGAAGTGACGTTGTAGAAAGATGCAGAACCTGGCATTAGGAGAGTCCTTGCAGTATCACTAACTCGCATTGTAATGTCTGACAGGTCACAGCACGTTCACTAGGTTTCCTCATCTCTAAAATAATAATACCTGCTCACCTACCTCAGAATATAACTAAGGAGCGTGAGATTAATGCGTTATGTTATTGTTCTTATGGCAGATTTTATTGTAATAAATAAAATCTACCATGACTTGAATCAGTCACTAGTTTTCTGATTGCCTTGGTCATACAAGTCTTCCATGAGACAGAATGTTGGGGAGGAGAATCTGCAGTCCTCTTGGGAACATTGATTTATCAGGAGCCACTTCAGCCAGAGTTTGTATTGTACTGCAGGGTGGTGTGTGGTCTCACCTCGCTCGTGTCTGAAAGCCCTGTGGAAGTGTGATCCCTTTTCCTTGACGTGGGCCACTTGGTTCTGCTGTGCTCGACTTTCCTACAAATGATTGATGTGCTTCACTCAGTCTCACGTTTTATGTCAATTACCTCTTCTGGCATTTTATTAAATTAAGAGGACCTTCTTTGACATCTGAGTAGATGTAAAAGCAAAAGAGGACGATGACAGCCACTGTTTCCAAAGCACTGAAAATATATGGGAATTTATCATTTTATAGTTCCTGTTTTCATTTATTTATTTGAAACTATTATTTTTGTAACAGGTTTGGCTGTGTATATAACCTGAAAGAGAGACAGTATAGCTAAGTCCTATTTACATTTCCATAGTGACAGAATGCTTGGTTATTTCTAAAGACAAAAATAAATAATTTGGTATCCAAAATCAGGAAAATATTTTAAGCTTCCAGATAATCTTCAGAAGAACATTATGGTTGCTATGACGTATTTAGATATCGTGAATGCTTTTTATAATATGTTGACTTTTACTATATAAATTAAAACTAGGTATTGTAATTTGTCTCTTAATAATATGATCAGGAAATTAGATAGTCTACAAAAGGGAATTTCCTAGATGAGAGAAACTTATTTTTAATTGTTATTTGAAAAGAAAAATACCACCACTTACTGAAAACGTCGTATGTATGTGCAAGACGCTGTCTGGGAGCCTGATATACATTCGCACATTTAATCTTCATAAAAACCTACAGAGTAGGTATTTATCGTTGAGGAAATCAAAGCTGTACACGGCGTTTCTGTATCCAAAGTCTGTTTTTTCCACACTTTCAAAGATTAAATTTTTTGGTAGCACTTTCTAAAATAAATTGCAGTCTCCCCAGCCTTACTTAGTAGAATATAGAGAGTATAATTTAACCTCAGGATGTTCCTGTTGAGAGTGGTTGTTAAACTGCGGAGCCCCGTAGTGTGTGTTTGTCGCCGTACTGAGTGGCCTGGCTCTGCTGTCTCCTTCCCTATCAAGGTGTCTGTCTTTGCCTCTTGCCGCTCCCTTTGCCTGCTGGCCTTCTGGCATAGCTAAGGTTGTTAGGCGTGTGCATTAAAACTAGGAGCCACTGGACTCAGCATGAGGAAATCATGAGTTTATAGTAGCTACTTCAGCTCTTCATAGGCCTTTTCCATTGATTTCTAGGTTTACAACTTTATTCCAGAAGGTTGAGCTTGAATAGAAATATGGCCTCTGGCCTCACTGAGTGAAGCGTATACAACTTATGTGTGAAAATTACACCTGGGTAATCTTTTATGCTAGTGCACCCTTAATTTAATAAGCCTTTAAACAAGAGTACTGTTGTGGATTAGTGAAAGAAAAAGAAATATGACAGGTAAACTTTACGGATAAAAATAATTCTGCTTGTCACTGCGGATATTTAAAGGTACATTATTTAGAAGGTTTTTTTATTAAAGCTACAGCTTTGTGTATCTGCTAGAAATTTTGTTTTGCAAAATGTTTAATGCTCATTGATGGCATTAAATTTATATGAAAAAATATCCTTTTTAGTTGGTGAAATAGCAAATTAACTAAAAAGAAATTAGGTATAGATTTTCTCCATTTCAAAATAGTTTAATTTTTGCCTAATTTCTTAAGTTACATTGAAAAGAAAGGAACCCCCTGCTGCTCTTTCTCTGTGAATCACTGGTGCTGCTGGTAACCCCCAGAAGATCTGATCGGAGGACAAACAGGTCCCTCTGACAAGCAGTGTAGTGTATGTGTGTTTGGTGTCTTGCTGAAAGTACTCAGATGCATGCTAAATATTTTGAAAATAGATCTTAATGCCGTGTTTCTCAACTCCTGTGCCATAAATCTTTCCCAGGTGATTTCCAGATGTTGATCAGTGTGTGAAAAGGACTCTTGTCTGAGACAGTGTATGTTACTCCATGGAGGAGTCTGTCCCATGAACATTGAGCTGAACGGAGTTTGTAATTCAGTGTAAAGCAGTTATAGTTTGGTCAAAAGAAGAGTCTGTGTGTATGGGAACTGTAAGAAATAGCCCCATAGTGTGTAACAGAGGTGGGCAGAAATGTTTTCCTCAAATCTTGACCGAAGGCTCAAGACTGGCCAGTGGTCAGGGCCTTGGAATTCCATAGGCGTTGTCACACACCGCTGTGCTGGAGTAGACGATCTGTGTAGTGTTGCTCACCCTTTTCATCCTCTCACGTGTACCATCAAAATTCTTTTTCTCAGAATCATGCTGTAAACACAGAAAGGTTGAGGACCACTGATATTTGCATTTTCCTTTTTGAATTAAGCTTATAAATTTTAAGTTGGAGACATTTCGGTTATATTAAATATTATGGATACAGAATTGCACTTGCATTTACTAATGTCTTTATTTGGGAATTAAAAGTTAAGTTCTGCATTACTCTAGAATTTCAGGAAAAAAGCCAGCAAATTGATATATAATACTGCTGAAGTCTACCAATTACTTTTTTTTTTTTTTTTTTTTTTGCGGTACGCGGGCCTCTCACCATTGTGGCCTGTCCTGTTGCAGAGCACAGGCTCTGGACGTGCAGGCTCAGTGGCCATGGCTCACGGGCCCAGCCGCTCTGCGGCATGTGGGATCCTCCCGGACCAGGGCACGAACCCGCGTCCACTGCATCAGCAGGCGGACTCTCAACCACTGCGCCACCAGGGAAGCCCTACCAATCACTTTTTAATTGGTATTATCGACCTCCTTCCGAAACCTGAATGTTTTGTTCTCCAGAGTGTGAATATGCTGTGTGAAGTTTCTCTAATTGATTTGCTGTGCCCATTCCATTTGATGTATCATTTTTCACAATATTTCATAATTTGCTCACTTCTAATGAACAGAGTCATTAGGACAGACATGTCTAAGTACAACTGACAGCTAACATTAGGTGCCAGATGCAGTTTATAAAGCTGTGTAGAACTGTAGAGAACAGTTTAAATAAATTAGCACCTGTACATTAGTCTCACTTGCTGGTAATTTATAAGCGAATCAGTAGAGATGACATTTAGGTAAGTCATTGATCAAGTTAACAGCTGCAGACCCACTGCCCAGCTGGGATACCTAATTAATAGAGATTGCATTCCTGACCCAGTGCTTCCTTCTCCTGGATTGAGTTTGCAATCCTTTTATACTTTGACATAAGCCTAAGAATATAGTTAAATACTTTGCCTTCATTTTAGGGAACACTTGAATTACCAGTATTCTAGTGAAAATCCAAAGATGTAAACAACATGTTTACAAATGAGAATTACTTTATTCGGTGACTTACTTGGATTAATTTTTTTCTTTAGTTTACATTCTTTTTTTTTAATCAGTACTTTTTTTGTTTTGGATTCAGGTAAGCCATGCCATAGTCTAATAAATTTCTGTCTGGGAGCAGACAGATCTAGTGTAACAGTTACAAATTTTTTTCTTTTGGGGAATGTATATGTGGTAATTTTATTATCCCATTTAGAAGATTACAAGGTGAGATAATGTATGTGAAACTCTTGGTTCGATATCTGGCACATGGTAAGCACTCAGTTACTATTAGTCATAACGTGAACTTGTTTTTATAACAATTGTTAATTAACCTTTGTGTGTATTTTCAGAGAGCGATTGCTTACCTTTTTCCCAGTGGTTTGTTTGAGAAGCGAGCCCGGCCAGTAATGAAGGTAGTTATCTTCATTAATATTTTCACAAATTTCACTTAGGTTTGTATCTTACAGCAATTACCTAATGCATTTTTAATTTATTTTACAGCATCCTGAAGAGATTTTTCCTAAACAAAGAGGTAAGTTTGTTCAAGAATAAAACAGATAGTTCTTTCTTTCCTACAGTGCTGTGTTATATATCAGCAGCCACTCAGGTGTTATGGAGATGCCCTCCTATGTCTTGGTAGTTGTGAAATAAGTCAGCAGTACTTTATAACTAATAATGAATGGAGTTTACAAACTGTTTCTTTTTAATTAAATAATATTAAAATTAGATCAGGTTAGAGTTTATGCCTATACTAATGTCAGTTTATTTGCATTCTAATATGCCTTTTTGAAGAAGAGCTGGTTACCGATCTGCTGGAGACAAATTCAACTTTTTTTAATATGAAAATTTAAAAATTTTCTTCAATTTGTAAGCATATTTTCACTGAATATAGATTCCCTCCCCTCTTTTTTGACTTTTATTACTTTATTGATGTGACTCTGTTGTCTCTTGCCTTGCATTGTTCCTGATGAGCAGTTAGCCAACATTCTTAGCTGGCCCCCTGTTTTCTCTGGTTTCTTTTAAGATTTTTCTCTTTACCTTTTAAATGTGTAAACTAAAATCTTGAAAACGTAGGACAAGCTTTAAGGTCACCAGAAAATAACATATTTACTATTTTCTAATTTACATTAGAAGCTTCTTGGATAAGTTTGGGGGGAGGCATTGTCAGTTACTTTAAAAAGTATTAAAGCCAGAAATCATTTCTTTAAAACACCCAAATATAAATTTATATTCATCAGTCTTTTGCTATAGCCCTAGAGGGTTTTTCTTTGAGGATGTATCTGTTCCTCCTCATTTCTTTTGCGTGCCTCTGCCCTTGAGATACATCATCAGAGGTTTTTAGTTTTGATTTCCTTACAGTGGAGTGAAGAACTTAAACTTCCTAAGGAATCTGAGTGCAGAATATTTTTATATTTCTACCAATTTTCCCCTGACTACACAGAAGTTGAACAGACTTTTTTTTTTTTAGTAACTTGCCTTTGAATCTTTCTAAAGCATTCAACTTCGTTTTGATAGAAGCATCAACTGTCTTTTCTGTTTCCACCCATGTTTCATCTGTTATGGAATACTTGATTCATGTAATTACAGAAATAAGTACAATTCTAATAAACAGGTTTTGGGAATAAACACAGTTGACTCTTAGTAGGTGTGTAACTCAACAGCGAAAATGTGTGGATACATTGGAGGGTCACTTGCTGGCCACAGATGCTCAGTTTACAGGCAGCATTAGGGTGTTGCAGAGCTGATAAATAGAGATTGGTGAGAGAGCAGATATTTTTATTAAAAATGTATTTGTTTTGCATTGGTTTTTGCTGAGTCACCTTTGTTCAAAGCTAGGCATTCTGTCATTTTTCTCTACTTCTCTTTACATGATAATTTTTATTTTGAATCTTGTTATAAGTATTTTGAATCTTTTAATAAATATTCTGTCTTTTGTATTTTCTGAATTCTTAGATGTGGTTGATAATAAACTATGACATCAATTCAATTAATAGCTTCTGGGAAGATAATAGATGAAGGCTATATTAAAAGTACACATCAAATTTAAAGATGCAGTTCAGTTTTCTAGAAATAAAACTATGCACAAGGCACAGTAACTTACACTTAGTGACTTTTCTGTAAATGTTTGTAATGATAGTGATTTTTTTCCCCTTATTTTAGTGGGAAAAAAAATTACTTTTTTTCCCCCCATTTTTCAACCTCTCAGTCTCCTCACTTATGTCTCTTCCTCTCTTTGTTCTGTATATCTCTGCTAGTTGCATCTGTTCTTGTATATCTGCCCCTCTGAGACTGGTTCTTTCTTTCAGATCATACCAGGTTCTGAATGTTAGAAAGTTGTTACTACTATCAGCTGGAATGTAAAAACTGAAATGTCCGTGTGTCCCTGCAAAATGCCTGTGTGTTATTTTGGAAATATGTCAGTGTTGATAGGATTTTCTTACAATTCAGTGAAGTATATTTAACTGTGTTTAAACAGTATTGCCTTTAGAATCGGCAGAGTACTTTTTGCCATCTACCTACCAACTTTGCTGTACTTTGTAAATAGGACAAATTGATTTTTTATGTTAAAAAAATCAGTGAACTTTAGATTTGAATAGATTATGGCACTTGTAATGTGCTGCCACTTCCCATATTAAAAGATGGAAGTGGGCTTCCCTGGTGGCGCAGTGGTTGGGAGTCCGCCTGCCGGTGCGGGGGATGCGGGTTCGTGCCCCAGTTTGGGGGGATCCCACATGCCGCGGAGCGGCTGGGCCCGTGGGCCATCGCCGCTGAGCCTGCGCGTCCGGAGCCTGTGCTCCGCGGCGGGAGAGGCCGCGGCAGTGAGAGGCCCGCATACCGCAAAAAAAAAAAAAAAAAAAAAAAAAAAAAAAAAAAAAAAAAGATGGAAGCTTCCAGATTGAGTTAACATAAAAAAGCTGCTCTACTTTTTAAAGTAAGTGATAAAAATATTGGGAAAAACAAAGATATGTACCCGGTTGATGACAGAAGCAAGGAGTAGCACCTAATGCCAGACAGAATGGAATTCAGGGAGGTTCGGGAATGGTTCAGTGAGACAAGAATGTTAATCTATATCGATAAAACCTAATATCCATTAAGTGGATTTGACGACCATGAACCTTTTTGCACCAAGCATTTAGCGTTGAAATGTTTAAAGCAAAAGCTGTTAACTAAGGCTGTAAAGAATTTGAATAACACAGCATGATTTTATAGTTACAGATACGAGTACAAAGAATACATTTTCTATGCGGATGCCAATGGAATATTAATAGAATATGATGTAATAGGTTGTAGAGAAAACCTAACAAATTATAGAAATTTTGTAGATTAGATATTCTGAATTAAAATTGTAGAACCATAAAACTTTCGGGTTAAAGAGAAATCAAAATTGAGATTTTAGACTATTTAGAAGTATATGACAGTTCATATTAAGCCCTATGGGATACGGACAGTGTTTTATGCAGAGGCAAACATATATTTATTAGTTATTAAGAAAGACTAGAAATAAATGAACTGTTCAGTATTCAGTTCAAGAAGGCAGAAAAGGGCTTCCCTGGTGGCGCAGTGGTTGAGAGTCCGCCTGCCGATGCAGGGGATGTGGGTTCGTGCCCCGGTCCGGGAAGATCCCACATGCCGCAGAGCGGCTGGGCCTGTGAGCCATGGCCGCTGAGCCTGCGCGTCCGGAGCCTGTGCTCCGCAACGGGAGAGGCCACAACAGTGAGAGGCCTGCATACCGAAAAAAAAAAAAAAAAAAAAAAAGGCAGAAAAAGAATGAAATGGCTGAATGAAGTAAAGATTTTTAAAAGAAGGGGTAGGACAATAAAACCAACTAACTCTTTGAAAAAGCCAGTGGAATTGATCAAATTCTAGCAAGTCTGGTTAATGGAAAAAGAGAGAAAACATAAGAGGACAACGTTAATAATTTTACATAATAATATTCAGAGGATATTTAAAAGTGTACGATTGTTATGGGTAACTTGATTCTTATTAATCTGAAAAATATCCTAAATAATATAGTAACTAGTATTTATTAAAACTTAGAGCAGGCCAGGCACAGTTCTCAGTGCTTTGCATGCATTAACTCATAATCTTCCCAGCAGTTTTCATAAGTCTATAATATTGTTTTCCCCATTTTTCAGATGTGTTGGGTAAACTTACCCAGGGCACATAGCTGGGAAGTGGCCGAGGCAGCGGACGTAGGTGGGCCCAGGCAGTTGTGGATCCAGAGTGTAGCTCAAACCCCACTCACACAGTTTAAAGAAAAACAGCGTTCCCAAAATTGTCTTAATTAGGAAATGCTGGTTAGACTAAAAGCTGGAGAAGTCAAAGGTAATCAAAGACGTAACCAAAGAGGCACACAGCCCAGAAAGTTTTGTTGGTGAGGTCTGTCATACCTTGAAAAAGTTTCTAACTTTTATGTTATGTGAACTGCTGCAGAGCAGAAAAAGGATAACATAAACTTCTAAGCTCACCTTAAAGAAACCTACACTGTATTCTTACTAAATTAAATGATAGCAAACCAAATACAGCATTATAGAGAATAGGATCTCTCCCCCCTACACCCCAGGAATACAAGGGTGGTTTAACATTAGGAATTTATTAATGTAGTCTTCTGTGTTAACTGAGTCAGGGAAAAAATATTTCCAAAGATGAATAAAAAGTTATTTAACAAAATTCAGCATTTATTTTTTGGTTAAAAACTCTTAAACTAGAAATAGAAAGAAATTTTCTTAGTTTGAGAAAGACTATCATGAGAAACAGAAACACATCAGATTAAAAAACATATCATTGGATTCCTTTACATTAAGTTCAGGAATAAGACAAGTATGCCTACACTTGCCTCTGGTACTCATTTTTATTTTGAAAGTCTTAACCAGTATGATTAAAAAAGGCAAGAAATTAGGAATAAATCACTTAATATGCACAGGTGTTATGAGTGCCCACTTAGAAAATACAAAACTAAAAACTATATAAGCATTACAGTAGAATATCATTATTTGGATATCTGAATACAGGAAACATTCAAACTGAATTGTTCTGAAATTAGTTAAAATGATACTCTTTTATAAAAACATGCCAGAGTATAGGTGAAGCTGAAATGCTAGTCATGGAGAGATCCTGTGAGCCTCCTGCCAGCTGATGACAGCATGGTGGCCAAATCCACACAAAGAAATCAGTGTGGCATGGAGTGTACTGATGACCTCAGTAACGTGATGGTCTCCTCGGTTACAAACAAATTGTGATCTTTCTCTGCCTTTATGTATTTTCGTGGACAAGAACTATTTTAAAAACATTGAATTTCAACTATACAAATATATACCTACATACACGCATACATACTTGTGGTTTTTTAACATTTTCTTCTGTGCACTTCTTGCTCGTCTTTGTTTTAGTTTTAAGTCTACAATTAGCTTATTAAATGCTGTCCATAACTCCTTCTGCTAAGGTCTCCCTGGTCATCTCTTGGTTGAATGGAGTTCATTTTCTAGTAGATTCTTCAAAAAGGGCTCATAGATACAAATTCCCTGAGTTCTT